AAAAAAAAAAAAAAAAGAAAAGAAAAGAAAATTTAAAAAGGGAAATACAAGTGATACTAAGTGTTATTTTTGTCTCCTATTGAAAGCCATCCTGAGTATTCTCACCTTTTTCATTGAACTAAAAATATTGCATAAGTATCATTTTATTTTTATCTAAAATGCACATATTTATAAAAAAGACAATTTGCTGAAAATCTCTAAATGTAAACAAAATGAAGATAGCATGACAAAATTATTGAGGCTTTTCACAAAGTGGAATGTTAAGCCTCTTTGAAAGAGTCCCATTCTTTGATATGGGGCTAGCTTTAAACACTAGTCTTAAGTATTCTATAAAGGAAAGAAATTTCAACAGAGATTTTTGGTGAAATTTAATCGTCTTAGTGATTTGAAACATGAGAGCTATTACATATTATAGACATTGAGTCAAAAATGTGACTATTCATTATAAGGACAATATTCACAGTAGCTTTGCAGCACTTTAGGGGTTGGACAACAAGTCCTGGCCTGCATCAGGGGAGTGGCCTACACCCTACCTGCCTGACTCTTGGAGTGCTCTCATCGCTCCATCTCCCTGGCATGTCTGCACTGGTGTCTGCTATGATTTATGCTGCACGCACCCCACTGTCCTGAAGAAAAAAGTTATCACACCTTACTATTGTTATGAGATAGTCTTGAGTTTTTAACCTTTTACCCCACTCTAGACTATCAAAGAAAGAATTTTGAAGACTTCTTTAAGCACTAAGCTATGTCCAGCCTTCCGCAGCCATTTTGGACAGGCTACACCCTGATCACGCTTGCTGATACTTTTTAAGGTATCGACACAGATCTTTTACCTCTTACAAGTAAGAAAACTATTTCCATGAGAAGACATCTTTAGCAAAGTCTCAGTCTCAGTTCAGAAAACAAACTCTTAAGACATTCATTTAAAAAGTCTTCACATATCCCTAAAGTAGACTCATCTTAGTCAAACAGGAAATAATTTTTAAAGAGCTGTGAAGAGACAATATGTCACATGGCTACTGCAGAAACAAAGAATGAAGTACTTGTGAAGTTCTTTCTCTCACCTCTGGGATTTCTCCTTCCTTGCTCTGATAGGAATTCTTCCTTGTCCCTGTTTTAGGTATTTCAGTTGTTTTTAGCCTCTCAGCAAAACAGAACCTAATTTGATGGGAACCCAATTTCAAATATTTCTGGTTTAAATTTGCTTTAAAAGTCTAGTTGAATATTATATGTTGAATGTAATTTGAATATTAAAATTTGAATATATAAGTTGAATATTAAAAAAAATTAATATTACCAATTATGGTTTAAACACAGCTAATAGATATCCTTTGCCTGGTTTTCAAAAGTGTCAGTAATTCAGTTTCAGTTGTTTGCATTTTTTAGCCTCTTGTATTCATCATAAATTGCAACATAAAGTAATAGTTCTAAAATGAAATCTTAAATGAAATGATGTAGTCTTAAAGCATACTTTTTCATTATAATGATACTGTATCCATACGTTTTGTTTTAATCCTACTTTAAATGCCTTTCCCTTTTTTTTTAACAGCAAAGGACAAGGTTGCTCTTTTGATAGGAAATATGAATTACTGGGAGCACCCCAAACTTAAAGCTCCTTTGGTGGATGTGTATGAACTGACCAACTTACTAAGGCAGCTGGATTTCAAAGTCGTTTCTCTGTTGGATCTCACTGAATATGAAATGCGCAATGCTGTGGATGAGTTTTTACTACTTTTAGACAAAGGAGTATATGGTAAGATATTTACAACACAGTCTTTGGTTTTGTAATTACTCATTCTTCTTGTATATAGGTTAAGAGTTAAAAAATCAGATAAAGGTAAGTTAAACTTGATGGACTGAGGAGTTTTTCTTGTTAAAAATGATAGGTTTGATTTTCATTTCATATGAATAATTAGCTGAATGATTTTACTTGTGTGTTTCTTGTTTTGTCAAAACAGTATTATTATTAGAATTCTTAACATGCCTTTCATGATTTCTTATTGACTGTTAGAGCTACAATATAGTAAAGCTTGATGACCAAATAGCAAAATGTACATTCATATATGTAAAAATTACTATGTGTGGTTTGGGGGAGGGGGTTAGTATAAAAGGATGTGACAGACTGTGCATTGTTTGTTTCCTTTTCCTTTTTCTAACTATTGCATGGTATTTTCTAGTCTTAAAATGGGAACTAGAATTGAATAAGGAAATGCTGGTGAATGAGGCATGTGAAAACAATTTGTATACCCATAGAGTTAAGGCTGCAACTGTACAAAAATTGTAATAATAAATTTTTACTGGTTTTTCTCATTCTTTTACTTAAACATGTTAAAAAACACTGCATGTGTGATAAAGAATTTTTAAAGAGCCAGAATATAATTGATTTCTTTTAATATGTGTTCTGTTAATATGGGAAGGTCAGCTGGTGAGCTCTTCTGAATTGTGTTTTGTAAAATAGTGCTTCCCATAACAATGTGCAGTGACGTTGGCCTGCCAGGAAAGTGACATTTCCAGGCATGTGGTTAGGCTTGCAAGTGATAAACTTAAAAAAGTATAAATTTGTCTTCTACGTCTTTCACATTATTCCACTTTAATAATTCCTGAATTTAGGATTGGCACCCATAGCACAGTGATTACTGTCCCAGCCACATGCACCAAGCCTGGTGGGTTCAAACCTAGCCCAGACTTGCTAAACAACAATGACAACTACAACAAAAAAATAGCGAGGCATTGTGACAAGCACCTATGGTCCCAGCTACTTGGGGGAGGCTGAGGCAAGAGAATCGCTTAAGCCCAAGAGTTTGAGGTTGCTGGGAGCTATGGTGCCACAGCACTCTACCAAGGGCAACATAGTGAGACTCTGTCTCCAAAAGATAATAATAATAATTCCTGAATTTAGCTTTATTATTTATAATTAGAATGATATGATGAGATAATCTTGGTAGAATTGCTAATGGTTCTCATAGTAGAATTTTTAATGGAACAGAAATCATTTTTTGAAGATTTACCACACTGCTGTAGAAGGGATAGGAAAAGTCTCAAAATCCTATTTAAAAGAGTTTTCCTCCTTTGTGTTACAAATGAAATTAGCAAGATAAAATTTCATATTTGGAATTTCAGCTATTGTGCTGATGTTGTAATAATGTGACTTTACCTGTAAGTATTATGAAGTGATGGCTGACAGGTGAATCAATTTGTTTTTCTTATGAAAATATGAAAGAATATAGTATACAAATATGACCCCTTAGTAATTGGCTTGTACAGATTGAGCATCTCTAATCTGGAAATGGAAAATCCAAAACATTCCAAGTGCTAACATGATACCACAAGTAGAATATTCCACACCTGACCTCGTATGATGGGTTGCAATCAAAACTTTGTTTCATGCACAAAATTATTTAAATACTATATAAAATTACATTTAAGCTATGTGTATAAGATGTGTATGAAACATAAGCGACTTTCATGTTTAGACTTGGGTCCTGTCCCCAAGATGTGTTGTTATATATATGCAGATATTCCAAAATCCAGAAAACCTTAAAACACAAAACACCTCTGATCCCAAGCGTTGTAGACAAAGGATTCTTAACCAATATTATCAGTCTAGAATCAAGTAAACTGTTTGAGCATTTTTATATTATATAAATTTTTTCTCAGTTTTTAAGGTGCTTACATGGCTTAAACAGAAAAAGGTTTCCAAACCTTCCCTGGAAGTGATGAGGTGTAAGGGAAAAATATTGATCAGTATAGTTCTTTGGATTGGTAAAGTATTTAAAGAGTGAGGGAATTATGTGAAGAATTGCATCTTGATTGTTTATTCTCATTTCTTATTGACATCATCCTCTTAACTTTTTAAGCTTTTCGTTTGACTTTTAAAATCAAAACCTTTCTTTGCCCCTGTTAAATAGAGAATCAGAAATATAAAAAGCTGTGTCAAGATTTTAGTTTAGGCTAAAGTTTTGCCCCACTGAAAGAATATCATCTTGAGTACAGAATAAAGAGACATATTAAAGCAAAACGGGAGCTTAAGAAAGCTAGAAAATTTTTAAATCCTACTGATTCGTGTCTTAACAGGGTGGCTGCATTATATTTTGAAGTATTGTGAATATCCCAAACACCAGACACATCTACATTAAATGTAAGTGTGGTAGAGGCCTGAGGGTTTAGGGCATATCATAAAGAAACTTTTAATTTTTTTTTTTTGGACTATGCCTTTACCTCTATTTGATAACCTTAGATGACTTGTAGTACTCAAGGGAGATGGGGGGAGGATGGAAGGTAGAGTCACAGGAATTTCAGTGTGAGCAAGCTTAGATATGGAAAACAAAGGGACTCAAGTTTTTGCCCTTTTATATTACCCACAGGTTTGTAAAAGAAATAGAAATTACAACAGAGGCTCGGCGCCTGTAGCTCAACCGGCTAAGGCACCAGCCACGTACACCTAAGGTGGCGGGTTTGAATCCCCAGCCCAGACCCGCCAAACAACAATGATGGCTGCAACCAAAAAAAAAAAAAAATAGCCAGGCGTTGTGGCGGGCGCCTGTAGTCCCAGCTACTTGGGAGGCGGAGGCAGGAGACTCGCTTGAGCCCAGGAGTTGGAGGTTGCTGTGAGCTGTAATGCCACGGCACTCTACCCAGGGGGACAGCTTGAGGCTCTGTCAAAAAAAAAAAAAAAGAAATTACAACAGAACAGAAAATAATTCACTTTTGAACATATATAAAAAATCAAAAGCAAGAACCGAAAACAGGAATATCTGACTTATACTGCATGTCCTAGAAGATAAATCAGGATAGAGGTTTCTGGTTATCTTATATAGACAGTTGGGATAAAGAGTAACTTTTTGGGGCGGCACCTGTGGCTCAAAGGACTAGGGCGCTGGCCCCATATGCCAGAGGTTCAAACCCAGCCCCGGCCAGGAAAAAAAAAAGTAACTATTTGGCCTGAAATGTACCCCACCAAATCCCTTGCTATATTGGTTTGCTGAAGCCTAGCTGTGCTTTTATGAAGAAGAATATTAGAGTCTGGACAGAATATGGCAAAAGCCTCATTTACCCTCCCAGAGTCATTCAGTGTGTAAGCTAAGTGTTCAAAGCTCTGACTTTTCTGCTTACTAGCTGTATGACAGTGGTAGAGTCATTTAACTTTTCTAAGCCGAAAGAGATCTATAACATGGATTGACCTAAATAATGAAGTTGTTACAGGATAAGCAAGATAAATAATTATCCTCATACTTGGAACACTAAAATTGCTCAAAATGTTATAGTTTCTGACAACTTACTAAAGAAATATAAATGTTTTTTCATCTTTAGATTAGTGTTTTCGACTAGATCATATTCTATTTCAGGCCTCAGTCATGGAAATGCAGTTTTCATCAGTTTCTATGTATTAAGGTTTTGCCAAAGGTTTCTTTGGGCAAAAAGTGTGTATTTTACTATACAATAGTGTAGTAAAAACTGATACACTGACCGTTTATATTTTCTGAGAGTAAAATTAACTAAAACTCTGATAGTTGGCAGGTGCAGTGGCTCGTGCCTGTAATCCTAGCACTCTGGGAGGCCGAGTGGATCGCCTAAGCTCAGGAGTTGAAGACCATCCTGAGCCAGAGCAAGGCCCTCACTCTAAAAATAGCCGGGCATTATAGCAGACACCTATAGCCCCAGCTACTCAGGAGGCTGAGGCAAGAGAATGGCTTGAGTCCAAGAATCTGAGATTGCTGTGAGCTATGATGCCACAGCACCTACTGAGGATGACAAAGTGAAACTCTGTCTCAAAAAATAAATTAATTAATTAAAAAAAAAAAACTCCAGTAGTCAATTATAGAGACAGTATAACAGAGCACAGTGTGGTTAAGGTGGCCTGCATCCACATTCCAGCTGTGTCACTAATTAATCATTTGTATTTCGGTGGGCTTTAAACCTCCCAGTGTCTCAGTTTCTATATCTGTAATAGGGGAGTGATAATGTCACCACCGACCTTGTTATGAGGTATATGTATGTTGTGAGGATTATAGGAGGTGTTGTAACTAAAGAGCATCTTGAAACCATGCCTGGCACATAGCAAGTGCTAGCTAAGTCCACTGCTGGTGGTGGTTGCTGTCCAGTGAGAGCAGTGTGCTAGGTGGAGTGCAAATTCACGCAAGTGGGGAAGTCTTCCATTTAGACAAAGTAATTATCTGTGACAAACTATATTCTTGAAAATCATGTTCCTAAGAAATAAAATTCCCTAAAGATCTAATTTGTGGAATTATAATTCTAACTACATTAGGTTTTTTGACATTTAAAACGATATCCATTTTATCTTTTATCTTTGAGTAATAGGATAGTTACTGAAATAAATAAGCATTACTGGAGATGGAATTTTAAAAAGCAGTGATTTGAACTAGTTTATTGTTACATTAAAGTCCTTAATCCCTCTTGATATTATTTGGTTGCAGACTTTGATACAAAATGCTTATTTTCTAAGTCATTTGGGGAGGAGAAAAAGTATTTTCGTGTCAGTACCCTAGTATCAGCAGTTGCAGGGCTGAACGTATGGCATTGGCAGCATGGAACCATGGTACTTGGCTTTTCCCAGGATGAATGGAAGCTAAGCCTGCCCTTGATGTTGTTGCTTCTCCCCAGAATATGTTACATGACCCATAACTGGGCAGTTGTCTTTAAGTAATACCACTTGTTGAAATGGCATCATTGCTCCTAAAAGTCAGACTCCAGATCTGACTCTGTCATGATCAGTTTGCACTGGTAATCTGTTACAACCCAGTCAGTGTTTACTGAGGTCCCATCATATCCATAGTCCAGATAAGGAGTATCCTGCATGCTGAGGGAGATTCAGGGAGAAAAGAGCACAATCTGTCCCCCTAAGGAAGTTATAGACCCTTAGTAAAAGAGGGGAACAAGTTGTAAATGGAGTCCAAACACCTGTCAACTATATGGTTTTAAACAAATCATTTAATCATTTAAATTTTCTTATCTGTTAAAAAAAACTAAAAAGTTGTTATATGCATTAAAATTAGACTGTACATGAAAGTACTTGAAAACCAAGAAGATGTTATACAAGTTGAGTATCCCTAACTCACAGATGCAAAACACTTCTGGTCCCAAAGATTTTGGTTAAGGGATACTCAGCCTGTACAAATGTAAAAGATTAGTATCAACATGATTGTTTTTCTTTTCTTTTTTTTGAGACAGAGCCTCAAGTTGTCCCCCTGGGTAGAGTGCTGTGGCATCACAGCTCACAGCAACCTCCACCTCCTGGGCTCAAGCGAGTCTCCTGCCTCAGCCTCCCAAGTAGCTGGGACCACAGGCGCCCACCACAATGCCCAGCTATTTTTGGTTGCAGCCATCATTGTTGCTTGGCAGGCCCAGGCTGGATTTGAACCTGCCACCTTAGGTGTATGTGGCTGGTGCTTTAGGCACTTGAGCCACAGGCGCCGATTGTTTTTCTATCCAAAAAACTAAGTGGGTTTGGACTATACAGTGTCAGTAAAGGCCAGTATGTGAGTCTCAGAAAGTGCTCTGCAGCATTTCAAGGGAGGAGAGAGTGCTGCAAATCAGGTGAGAATCTGCCAAGGATTCTGAACTGTGACATAACCTTTGAGGACTGGTTATGGTTTGGGTGGACAGAAAGGAGATACAATAACTGTAGAAAAGTCATGGAAGTTAAAAACAAGTTTATCTCCCTCTAGAAGCAATAAAGAGACTGATGGGAAATAGAGTCATATTTTGATAGAAGAGTATAAATTTTACTCAATAAAGTATAATTCAGTGGTTTTAGTATCCACAAAGTTGGGCTTTAGTCACCACTACTTAACTCCAGAGTATTTTTATGACTTCAAAAAGAAACCCCAGGCCCATTGGCAGTCACTCCGTTTCCTCCTGCCCTCAGCCCCTGGAAATTGTGAATCCACTTTGTGTCTCTGTGGATTTCCTTATTCTGGATATTTCATATAAATAATCATTCAGTATGTGGCCTTTTATGTCTGGCTTCTCTCACTTAGCATAATTGTTTTCAAGGTTCATCCATATTGTAACTATGCACTAGAACTTAATTATTTTGGAGCCAGATGACATTCCATTGTATGATTATACCACATTTTGTTTACCCATTTATCAGCAAGTAGACATTTTGGGATATTATGAATGTTGCCATGATCATTTGTCTTCATATTGTAATGTTGACATAAGTTCCCAGTCTCCTGTATACCTGGGAGTGGAATTGCTGGGACATACAGTAATCCTATTTGAGGAACTGTTAAGTTCTTCTCAAAATTCTTAATACCATTTTACATTTCCACCAGAAATTATTGAGGGTTCCAATTTTTCTACGTCCTTGCCAACACTTGTTACTGTCTTCCTTATGATAGCCATCCTCCTGAGTGTGAGGAGGTATCCTACTGTGGTTTGGATTTGCATTTCACTAGTGACTGTTGATGTTAAACATCTTTGCTTGTGCTTATTTGCCAATTGTATATTCTCTTTGGACAAGTATTTATTCAAATCCTTTGCCTATTTTAAAATTGGGTTATTGTTCTTTTTCTTCATGGGTTTAAGAATTTATTTATTCTGGAAACAGGTTGTCCTTATCAGATAAATGATTTGCAAATATTTTTCTCATCTTGTGTGGTTATCTTTTCACTTACCTCATCTTTGTTGCTTATTGAATTAGATCCACTTCCTTCATCATGATTGCATATCATGATTGCATATGCATCATGAATGCATATCTGTGCATTCTTACTTTTATTTACAACCATAATTTAATTCCTTGCTAGGCCAGTCTCTCTTAGCTATCATTCCATGTCCAACCCTGGTTAGTTTCTGTTCTCCTGCCCATAATGTCTGTGGTCTCTCTTGCACACACTCCCTCTCTCCCCCTTTCTAAATTCCACCTGTTGTCTCAAGTCCATTGCTTATTGTTTTACCTTCTACTGATAGTCCTCTCTGCACTTTGCTCATCTTATACATTGTTGCCCTAATAACATGATTGTGGCAGTTAATTATATGCTGACTCTATTGTTGATTAATACCATGAGCACACCTCAGTCTCCAACTAGGTTGCAAGATCCTCGAGGACAGGAACTTTATCATCTTTGTCCTTGTCGTTTCCCTCAGTGCCTGCACGATAATATTTGGTGCACATGAGCTATAGTATAAGCCCACAGTGGATAATTGGGTGTACCCATTTTCTCATTTTACTAGAAATGTTGTTTATGTAAGAGTAATTTTCCTCATTTTAATAGATGTTCAAGAAAACCACGACCTGGATTCTACCCTCTAGGATTAGGGTAAAGCAAGTTGTCCTTAGTTCTCAAAGCCACATTCTCTGCTGGGAGAGCTGGGGCCATAATTACAAGGGATTAGCTATTTTCAGTTCCCTTTTTAAATGCCTTTTACTATTAACTTTAAAATACTATTTATAGAAATCATTGTATCCAAAATATTGAGAGAGCAAAATTAGTGAGCTCTAGAGATTGAAAGCTTAGGGGAGTTTGTCTTCAAAAACATTTCTGTCAATTTTTTTTTTTTTTTTAGGAAATCCATACTGATTTTATCTTATTTTATCATTTAATTCTTTTATGACAGAGTCTTGATCTATTGCTTTCGCTGGCGTGCAGTGGTGCAGTCATAGCTCAATGCAGCCCCTAACTACTGAGCTTTAAGTAGTCCTCCTGCCTCAGTCTCCTAAGCAGCTGGGACTATAGGGACATGCCACCACACCCAGTTAATTTCTTTTTTAAAGAAATGAAGTCTCGAGGTCTCACCGTGTTGCCTGAGGACTCACTGTGTTGCCTGGGCTCGTCACGGACTCCGGGCCTCAAGTGATCCTCCAGCCTTGACTTAACCAAAGTGCTGGGATTACAGGCATGAGCCACCACACCCAGTCTCACATGGATGATATTTTTGTTGTTTTATATAGCTGAAAACAAACTTCCTTTCAAGAAAGCATTTAGGGTTGCTTAGTGTAGTTTTTATACTATCATTTCCCCATAAGGAAATATGACCCCTCTATGGAGTCCTAAAGTTAATCTAAATTTTAAATTAATAATTCATGAGACTGAGTGGGAAAGCTGGGGCCTTGGGTCTACATGAGGCCTTCTGGATCTTGATTGAGGTCTTTTGATTGAATTCACATTTTACAAAACATCCTTTTAATAAAGAGATTTGTTCTGTAAAGTTTGGATTCAGTTGAGGGGATACACTTGGGGATCTGGAGGGCCACATGTGCCCCTTGTGGCTGCAGGTTTTGGTAATATCTGTGGAATTTCTTGCAGTTTGTTGCTGTTCATATGAATTATGTTTGTTCTACTGAATACTGAGCTCCTGCTCTATGCCAGGAATACGTGAATAAATGTAAAACTGTCTCTGCCCTAAAGGAGCTTCAAGGAGGAGACAGAGTAGTCAAAGAAGCCCTCAGCCACCTCTTTTTTGTATGTCATAAGATAAAGTTGCATTTCAATCACACCATTGGTTATAAATCTGTTATATTATAAATTAGAATACACTTTGGACAGCATTTTGATGTGTTTGTTTCAGATAGAATTTCACTTTTTGTCACCCTGGGTAGAGTGCTGTGGCATCATAGCTCACATCAACCTCAAACTCCTAGGCTTAAGTGATTGACTTGCCTCAGCCTCCCTAGTAGCTGGGACTACAGGCACCTGCCACAACTCCCAGCTATTTTTTAGAGATGGATTCTCACTCTTGCTCAGTCTGGTCTTGAACTTATGATCTCAAGCAATCTACCCATCTCAGCCTCCCAGAGTGCTAGGATTACAGGTGTGAGCTACCACACTGGGCATTTTGATGTTATAAATGCATAATTTAACTAAAGAGTGTTGACCAAAGGATTATAAATGCAAATTAACATTGACCATATTTATAATTGGTTATTTGTTAAGTAGGCCTGTATTAGTTTGAAGAAAATAAAATTCATAGGGCTTGGCACCTGTGGCTCAAGTGGCTAAGAGGCCAGCCACGTACACCTAAGGTGGCAGGTTCGAATCCAGCCTGGGCCCGCCAAAACAGCAATAACGGCTGCAACCAAAAAATAGTTGGGTGTTGTGGCGGGCACTTGTGGTCCCAGCTACTTGGGAGGCTTAGTCAGAAGACTTGCTTGAGCCCAGGAGTTGGAGGTTGCTGTGAGCTGTGATGCAACGGCACTCTACCCAGTGTGACAGCTTGAGGCTCGGTCTCAAAAAAAAAAAAGAAAAGAAAATTCATAGTTTAAAAAAAATTATGCTATGTATATATATTCAGATCATATTTAGAATTAATGTCTACCTTATTTTTTCTCTTCTCAGGCTTATTGTATTATGCAGGACATGGTTATGAAAACTTTGGAAACAGCTTTATGGTCCCTATTGATGCTCCAAATCCATACAGGTCTGAAAATTGTCTGTGTGTGCAAAATATACTGAAATTGATGCAAGAAAAAGAAACTGGACTCAATGTGTTCTTGTTGGATATGTGTAGGAAAAGGTAAAATTTCTAATATTTTAAAAATTCTATTAGAGTTAAACATCAGCTTTGACAAATTAAACCTAGGGCACACCTCTGATATGCTAAGAACCATTTGAGCTTGTGAATTTCAGATTATGCACTGAAACTGAAAGAACAGTACTAGAGGAAAATATGTTTACTCCATGTATATCTATTATGTTAATTCTTTTCCTATTTGCCATAGAACATAAGTGAAGAACTAAAGGGCATGGATCCTCATACTACAAGAGATTCAGCTCTTCCACATGCCTTTTCACATCTCTGCTAATCGTTGCAGTTGTTACCTCAGGCCTTAAAACCAACACTGCAGAGTTAGGGGCTCTGTCACTAGTCAGTCCTGGTCTTGGAGATACAAGTACAGCTGAAGGAGGTGTTTGAAGATTTGGATCCCATTTGTCTGCCATTGCTTTCACTAAGGAATAGAACCAAAGACTATTGCCCCCAGATTTACTATTTTTTGCTTTCCTAGCATTTACCAATTAAAATTCAATGCCAGATTTCAAATATAACTCCAATTTTAGAGCTGAGAGAAAAGATATGACTGTCTAGTCCAGGCGAGGACATTTATCCGGCCCACCAGGTGTTTTTGCCCATGCTGCCTGTCCTGCTTAGCCGCTGTCTGTCCTTTTAAAGTATAGTCCGGCCCTCCAACGGTCTGAGGGACAGTAAACTGGCCCATGTTTAAAAAGTTTGAGGACCCGTGGCTAGTCTCTTAATAGTGTGGGAGCCCTGGATTATTTGGGGTACATATGTAGCTGACTAAAAAATAATTTGAATCTATAGTTATAAATTATATATATTAAAATAGTATTTCATTTTCTCATTATATTTTATATACTCTTGTAAAAATGCCATTTAACTTCACATTTGTATCTGCCCTTCTCTCTTTCCCCCTTATAAATAGAAATGATTATGATGATACCATTCCAATCCTGGATGCACTGAAAGTCACTGCCAATATTGTGTTTGGATATGCCACGTAAGAAAATTTTATGTTTATGTTGAAGATTCCTTAGTCTACGATTGGCTGCTTCTTGATTATAGATTAAAGGCCTAGAATATTTATAGACATCTAAGCATAAATTTGCCTCCTTGATATTGAAAATTTTGAAACATTGACTTTAGAATATCATCTCATACTACCTTATCACTAAGCCTGAAAGCATTTAGCTCCTGCTTAAAAATTAATTCTTTCATTAGGGATGTCAAGTGAGGGGCAGAAGAGAGAATGAGGCTCAGCAGTATACAGAAGTCGTCTGTGGCAAGTTGCCTTTTTAAAAAATATATTTTTATTGGATATTGACAGATTATAATTGTATATAGAGTACAAAGTGATGCTATGATGTATATGTTCAACGCAGAATGACTAAATCAAGTTAATTAACATATCCACAACCTCAGATACTTACCATTTTTTCTTCCTTTCTGACTGAAACAATGTATCCTTTAACCCACACTCTGCACCCCCATTCCCCTGCTTCAGTAGTTCATTGTTTTTTAGCTTCCACCTGTAAGTGAGAACATAAGGTATTTGTCTTTCTGTGTCTAGTTCATTTCACTTCTTTCTTTTGTTTTTAAGGTGTCAAGGAGCAGAAGCTTTTGAAATCCAGCATTCTGGATTGGCAAATGGGATCTTTATGAAATTTTTAAAAGATAGATTATTAGAAGACAAGAAAATTACTGTGTTACTGGATGAAGTTGCAGAAGGTAAAATAAAAAATATAGAGAAAATACATGGAAAAAAAGAGAAAGAGAATCCACCTACACAGGGAGAAAGAGAATCCACCTACACAGGGCTCCCTGTTGGTGATTATTTTATTCTTGCTGTTACTTCTGTAGGTTTGAAATTAGTGTTTACTTCATAAAATAATTTTTTTCTGTAATGTTCAGGAATACTCCTGCTATTTAATTTCTTCCTTCTGTCCCTGGTGACTTAACTCCATGCTATGTGTGCCTCATAGACTTAGAACATACTGCGGGTGCATGGAACAGATTCACTTCAGTGCCATTCACATTATTCCCATGATGGGTAGTGGCCAGTTAATTGTACAAAATAAGTAAAGCCTCTGTAGTACCATGATGCAGTTAGATTTAGCACATAATCTGACCCTTTTTAGTAGTGAAGAGCAGAAGTAGTTACAAGCTGCTGCTCACAAGTCGTCTGCCTTTGAAACACAGCTTTGCTTCTCCTTCTCTGGATCTTCTGGATTACTTAAGAATCATTCAGGGGAAATTATTTAGAGGTCATAAGCGAGGCAGTTGAAGAGATTGAAATTGGCACCTTACCAATTTCAACTGTGTGTAAGCAAAATACTAAATTAATTGGCTGCTGTTAGAGGGTATAGCCATCAGTCTTTGTCCCAGATTTTTATTTCTGTACTATTCAGGATAGTGTTAGTGTTAAGTTGGCTGAAATTATAATCACAAATGCTCACTAATCTAGTTCTGTTAATACAACTGTAAAGTACCTAAAAACCATTGTACACTCCAAGAAGTAAAAATACTTCTTTAATTAGTAGGTTAATTATTTTAATTAGTTTATTACTGTATTTTAATAACATAAGTACCCATAAACATACTTTTTATTGTGGATGGATGATTAATATGAATCTAGGACCTTGATAGGAACCTACTTCTAATTATTTGTGTCCTTTATCTCTTTCCCTATTTTCCCTTCCATGATAACCATCATTCTGAATCTTACTTGGTTTTCTCTTATATAGTTTTGTTGAGTTTATATATTTCTGGAAGAAGTATTAAAGATATTATGCTTGGTTTTCTCTTATATAGTTTTGTTGAGTTTTCCCTTGGTTTTCTCTTATATAGTTTTGTTGAGTTTATATATTTCTGGAAGAAGTATTAAAGATATTATGCTCTATGTAGTCTTTTGGGACTAGAATTGGTTCAGTTAGTATTACATGCTAAGGTTGATCCACGTTGTGGCATGACTGTAGTTCGTTCATCTTGACTGCTGTATAATATTCTACTGTGCAAACTACTATGGTTTTTTTAACTACTCGCCTATTGATGAGCATTTGAGTTACTTCCAGGTTTTTGCTATTATGAACATTCTCATGTATGTCTCCTGGAGTGTATACACAAAAGTTTCTTTAGGTTATAAATCTAGGATTTGGAATTGCTTATGTCGGTAATCAATTTTAAGTGACAGTGCCAAACTGTTTTGTAAAGTTGTTGAGCCAGTCTGTAATTCCTCATTCTTCCCCAGAAATATACAAGAGATCATGTTAATCTGTACTCTCTCCATCACTTGACAGGTCAGATTTTTTTATTCTTGCCAGTCTAATTATGTTAAGTAATATCACATGTGATCTTGATTAAGTTTTCCCTGATCATTAGTGATACCAAACACCTGATCATATTCTTAATGGCCATATGTACATCTTCTTTATTTTTTCTTTTTATTAAGTCATATACACATAGGTCATGAATACATTTATGGATTTGTGGGGTACAGTGTGTTGATTTTTTATACAATTTGGAGTGCTTACATCAAACTAGTCAACATAGCTTTTACCTCATTTACTTAATTATTGTGTTAAGACATTTATGTTCTATTCTTGATAGATTTCACTTGTACCCTTGCAATATGCTTCACAGGGATGTTTCCCCCATTTACCCTCCCTCTATCAAACCTCCACTCTCCACTTCCATCCGCCTCCACTTCTCTCCTTCATCCTGGGCTATCGTTGTGATCTATCTTTCATAAGAAAGTGTGAGTAATTATAAATTGGTTTCATAAAAGTACTGAG